TTGTGTCTTAAGAACTTTACCCATGTCCATCTGCTATAGTCATCTACGATTACTAACCCATACTTCTTGCCACTGACAGAAGCAGTCTTAACTGGTCCAAATAAGTCAATGTGCAGAAGTTCTAATGGCTTAGAGGTAGAAACAACATTTTTGGATTTAAAAGATGGTTTTGCAAATTTGCCTTTCTGACATGCTTCACACAGAGCATCTGAATTGAACTTCAAATTTGGAAGTCCTCTGACCAGATTGAGTTTGTTAATCTGAGATATTCTTCTCATACTAACATGCCCCAATCTTCTGTGCCAGATCCACTGCTCGTTGTTAACAGACAGAAGACATTTTACATTCTGACTCTTTAGTTCAGAAAGTTTGATTTTGTAAATGTTTTTTTTCCTCTTACCATTAAACAGGATAGTCCCATCTTTCTGACTAACAGCTTTACATGATTTTTGATTAAAGATTATATCATAACCGTTATCACTTAATTGACTTATGGATAACAGGTTATGCATCAATCCATCTACTAGCAGAACATTATTAATAGAGGGAAGATTTCCGTTACCTACAGTTCCAGAGCCAATTATCTTTCCCCTCTGATTGCCTCCAAAGCCAACGTGGCCTCCAGGCTTAAGTTCCAGGCTTTGGAACATATGCCTTCTTCCCGTCATGTGTCGTGAGCAGCCAGAGTCCAGGTACCATGACTGGTGTTTCTGACTTGCTGCTAAAGATATCTGCAACATGTATTATTTTATCCTTAGGTACCCAGATCTTCTTGGGTCCTGACTTGTTAGTTTTACCAAAACTCTGGTTGAATTTTGGTTTCACAAAGTGATTACTACTAGTATATTTGATGTCATGTGTGTGACCATACACAAAGTGTGAATTTAAAGGTGTGTGTTTAATGGTTAAATCCATGACATTTTTAGGTGTAGGAACCTTACCTAGGTATCCTATTCCTTTCCTGCCGTTTCTGCTAACTCCATAGATCATTGAAGCCATTCTGCTTCTATCTATGCTTTTAGCAAGGAACTTCTGGAAACTATGATCATACTCCTTGATGATCTCATCAGCGTTGCTGGGAGTTTCAGAAATTGGTTTCTTCTGAGAGTTTTGTAAAGAGTTTTCTAATTTTAAAATTTTATCTCTCAGCTCAGAGTTTTCCAATTTGAGACTCTCAGACTTATTAGAGTCAGATTCAAGAGTCCTTTTCAGATCTCTGAATTTAGCTCTAATCTGCTGATAACGTTCCAGAATTTCATTGAGGCTTTCAGCAAGTTCAGCCTTTGTAAAATTAACAGCGAAGTTAGGGAATACCTCTTCTGTGTCTGATTCTGAGTCTGAGTCAGAAGCTTCACTGTCATCTGGAATGTTAGCCATGAGCGCTATGTTCGCCCTTTCATCATCTGATTCTGAGTCAGCTTCAGACGAGTCAGAGTCATCCCATGTGGCCATGAGACTTTTCTTCTTCTCTCTTCCAAACTTCTTTTTGGGCTTTTCCCTCTGAAGCTTTGGGCAGTCACTCTTGTAGTGACCTTGCTCATTGCACTCGTAGCAGATGATGTCTTTTGTATTTGGCTTCTTGCTACCAGAGGAGCCTTCAGATCTTCTGTATCCAGATGAAGAATCTGTCCTTCTGTATCTGGAAGAAGACTCGTTCTGATCAGATCTTCTGGGATTCCTGAACTTCCTTTGTCTTTGCTTCCACAGTTGATTTACTCTTCTGGAGAGAAGGGAAAGCTCGTCTTCTTCTGATGAGGATCCATCAGATGTTTCTTCAACTGCCTGCAAAACTTTAGATTCAGATTTTCTGTTAGATTTTAAAGCTATAGGCTTACCTTGCTTCTGAGGCTCGTCAGCTTCTAGCTCTATCTCATGACTTCTGAGGGAGCTTATAAGTTCCTCCAGAGTGATTTTGTTGAGATCCTTCGCTAGCTTCAGAGCAGTAACCATAGGCCTCCACTGCTTTGGTAAACTTCTGATTATCTTCTTGACATGATCAGCAATAGAGTATCCTTTGTCCAGAACTTTGAGACCAGCTACCAGAATCTGGAATCTAGAGAACATAGCTTCAATGGATTCAGATTCTTCCATTTTAAACGCCTCATACTTCTGAATGAGTGCCAGAGCTTTTGTTTCTTTGACTTGAACGTTGCCCTCATGCGTCATTCTGAGAGAATCAAAGATGTTCTTAGCTGTGTCTCTGTTGGAGATCTTCTCATACTCAGTATATGAGATGGCACTGAGGAGGATGGTTCTGGCCTTATGGTGATTCTTGAAATCACGCTTTTGTTGATCAGTCATTGATTTTCTTTCAATCTTCTGACCAGTTGCATTCACAGGGTGCGTGTATCCATCTGTCACCATATCCCACAGATCATCATCATGTGCTAGAAAGAAGCTTTCAATTCTGTCTTTCCAGTAATCAAAGTTTTCTCCATCAAAGACTGGAGGTTTGCCGCTGAATCTGTCTCTATCCTCATTGTTGTCATTGCTGAAATGAGAGTTGTTTCCTGCCATTGTGTTTTACTGACGCTGGATCTTGTACTGACACGGTTAAGTGTTTTAGCTCAGAACCAGGCGCTCTGATGCCAATTGAAGGGGTGAAAAACACAAGAAGGGGGGGGGGGGGGGTTGAATTGTAAAACTGGAAACTTAAAGCAAATGACAAGATATTTTTATCCTGGTTCGTTTGATCTCAAACTACTCCAGTCCACCCGTCAAGGTGATTTCGCCTCTCTCCAACGAGGTCTTAATTCACTATATTCAACTGAATACAAATCTGCTTTAACAACTGCTAAAGCCTTCTTGATTCAAACCACAATCCGGTTTGTCAAGGCAACACTTTCTTACAAAGGTATAGAATAATGTGTGTGAATGTTTTCTACAAAACTATATCACAACTGTGATGTTTACACAAATTAAGCTTAGAATACTAGGATGCTAAACACTAATGGAGTATCAGAGTTTGTTGGTTTAGCAAAACTGGTAGATGAAGATTATTGATCAGCTTTGTGCGTGTAGAGAGTTTGGAAGCATTAGCCGTGATAATCTTCAAAGCTTGGTTTATATAGCACTTGAGAAGATGAACGTTGAAGCAAATATTCTTGATTCAATGCTAATAACAAGCTTTCCTTTTTGAGCAGATCTTGTCTGGAATGAGGCCGTTGGAATTGATTAGCGTTCAATGCACAGTACCGTTGCTTCTTCAATGCACGTTCTGGCTTGGCTCATTCTGATTCTGCTTCGCTGCTGATGAACTGTTGATTCTGTATCAGAGTGTTTACGCGCAGTTCTGTTCATCAAACTTCAGCGTGTGCGTGAGTTGATCATCTGATCTTCACGTTCTGATTCAGCAACTTCTGATGCTGGTGTATCAAATCAAGTTCTGATGCTGATGAAGTACTCATGCTTATTTTAATCAGCATATCTGCAAGTCAGAACATAGTATTTTTAGGCAGCATATAATTCAATCATGAAACATTTAAATACTATATCTTTTCACTTTGTTATCATCAAAACTCAAATATAGGGTACTAGATTCAAACATTGTTCTAACAGGAAGTCCAAAAATCCTTGTGCAAATTCAAACCCTAATTTTGGTCATCAGTGCTTAAGGAGGTGTCTTGAACTGATCAAACCCTAATGCAGTCTTGAGTCAAGGAGATCTTGTGAGAAAATTCTTGATAAGTGAGATGGAAAATTTTAGGGTACAATATCTTCCCCTGTTCAATCTTCTTAAGCCTGAAGAGTGATATTGGCATGTTTTGCCATTCGTGACTCGAAGGTGGAAGATGATTGGACACTAGAGTGCTCAGAAATTTGCACTCGACGATGTGATGGTAGAGGGAATGGGCTTAAAGATTCCATTTAGAGAGATGATAGAAATTTGTTGGAGATGGGCTTGTAGATATCATCTAAGAGTAATTGTTGAATTGTAATTTGTAAGCTGAAAGAATGAGTGTCAGAATGGCGTTTGTATCTGAACTGTATCTGGAAGCTGATTTTGAATGAGCGTCAAAATGGCATCTGTGTCTGGAGCGTATCTGAACTGTATATGAAAGTTTGAGATCTGAATGACATTCGTGTCTGGAGCGTATCTGAACTGTATCTGAGAAGTTGAATTTGAATGAGTATCAGAATGTCATCAGTGTCTGGAGCATATCTGTATTATATCTGGAAGTTGAGAACTGAATGAGTATCAAAATGGCATCCATGTATGGAGCATATCTGAACTGTATCTGAAAAATAATCTGAATGAGTATTAGAATGGCATCCGTGACTGGAGAATATTTGTACTGTATCTGGAAGTTGAGAACTGAATGAGTATCAGAATGGCATCCGTGTCTGGAGCGTATCTGAACTGTATCTGAAAAAGAATCTGAATGAGTATCAGAATGCAATCCGTGTCTGAAGCGTATATGTACTGTATCTGAAGACTGAATCTGAATGAGTATCAGGATGGCATCCGTGTATGGAGCGTATCTGAACTGTATCTGAAAACTTTGAACATTGTTAATGGTAGCTGTTGGTTAATCTTATCCTGAAAAAGGTAAAATGTTAGCTAATATGCAATGTTATGTTTTATGAAATGCATAGTATAATGCATTCGTGTCATCAATGTTTATGACATATGGATGCGATGTATGCGTATTTGAGCTAGTTTGCTGCACTGCTGTTGGATTGGGGAAGATAAATCCCTGACTGCTGCTGAGAATATGGAGTATAAGTCTTCATGTTGTGAAGTCTAAGTGTTGATGAATTTCTTCTTGGATAAATAAACTCTGTTGTAACACTACAAGAAAATTAGGATTTTACGACACAAAAATTGCGACAGTTACTTAATAACCGTCGTAATTCTAATATAGGGACCCATGTCACGACGGTATACACCTACCGCCCTAAAATGAATGTTGCGACGGTTAAGAAACCGTCCTAAAATAGACATCACGACGGTAAAACAACCGCCGCCCCCCTAAACCTTTAAAAAACATGCAAAAGTTATGAAAGGGCACGACGGTAACCACACCCGTCGTCCCCCTAAATCCTTTACCCCGCTTCGTCTATTACGCTTTACTGCAATTTAAACCCAACTATTTCAAACCCAATAACACCGAACTTCACTCCATCATTTCCTGCATCACCTTCACCCCCCATGTTACTTACCGTGTTCTTTCAGACCCTATTCTCCAACCGCATTCCTGTTTATCCTTTTTCCACTTCCTCAAAACCCATCATTCCAACCATTCACTCAAACCTGACCTGAAGGCCCATTTGATTCTCTTTTCTAGACTCTTTAAAGCTCGCAAATTCGCCACCATCAAGACTATTCTGAATTCCGTTGTTACTGATTCCCAATTTCGCTCCCCAGTTTCGGGGATCGTTGATTTGCTTGATGAATTTGAGTTTCATTTTGTTGACAAGCTTTGTGATATGTTGTTTAGGGTTTGTTCTGATAATAGGTTGTTTCCAGAGGCGGTTAGGGTTTTTGATTATGTGGAGGAAAAGGGGTTCGTGATAGAGGAGAGGTCTTGTTTTGTGCTTTTGCTTGCTTTGAAGAGATTAGATTCTCGAGCTTAGATTCTTACTTCAGAAGCCATTCTCAAGTTCTAACAGGCTACCTGAGGTATTTTCCTACCCCGTTTTTGCGATTTCATGTGATTTGCTATTTTATCGTATCTAATGTCATAGCCAAATATGGTAATTTGTCTCCAGGAATCAGTAAAAGCTTCATTCTGTGAATCGGATGAGACAGTTAGAGTTGCATATGCAGATTTGATAACTTCGTCCAAGGAGACTTTGGATTCTATATTGGAACTGCAAGAGGTGTGTGCTGTGTTAAAACTTGAATGGAAAAAAATTGTTATGTTGTCATTAATATGTTCTATCTTCTCTAATTTTATCAGTCAATGCTTCTCACTATATGTAAAATATTCATTAATCGCAGCATTTTTTCTTGTTCCAGGCTCTGATTGCAAAGAATCCGTCAGTAACCCAAGCTGTTAATGGTGATTTCTTCATGTTCTTTTCCCATTCTCGTTTATTCTAGATTTTTCTTTCTTGTTAAACTTTGTGCTATTGACACCTTGTTATGTTTGATGATTGCGACATATCTTTGTAGTTATTATTGAGGGTCATGTATATATTATTCTCTGTAAGCAGTGGTATTACTAGTACCACAGTTGGTTCATGATATAGTTGTTTGAGGGAATTGAGAACTGGCCAAGTGTTCTTTATTTCTCTAGTTAATTGTAGCTCAAAATATGATAAACTCTATCTATTTTTCCTTTCTATTTTTTGACCGAGTTGGAAACATTGATTTGTGCTGGAGATGAGAGTTCTAATGTGTGACTTATAACTTCCAAAATAACCAACCAAATATTTGTTTCTTTTAAAAGGTTCAGAAAAGTCATCAAAAGAAGTTTCTAATGTTTTGGAAGACAATCTTGACCAAGAGTGGTCACAAATTTCTCGGATGCACAACAGGTATTTTCATAGCATTCTAAGTGCACAATTTTTGTGCTAATTTCTCGTGACATAACAGCATTGATATATAGTTTTGTTTCATAAACCCGATCTTCGTGTCTATTATGCTTAATACTTCTCCAAACAACAGCTTTTGAACTTAAGTTTAGCTGCATTTCTATCTTGAGCACGGGTTGTTCTTCTATTTGCAAGTCTGCTTGGCTGATGCTCTTCATGATTGTATCTTGCAGTATAGCATCTTTCAGAGACAAGTCTATCAACAAATGGCAGAGGATTACGCAAGTGACAACCGGTGTTGCTGCAATTAAAGGCAAACACGCTTTTAATCAGGTGAGGTTCTGTGACTGGAATGCGAATTCAAGTGTGACACCAAATATTTAACTTCTAATTTGTTGTCCATGTTGCAGGATATCAGCAATCAAGTTGCTGGCTATATGAGAGATCCTAGTAGAATGGTCAAGCAGATGCAACTGAGAAAATCAGCTGTTAACGTATTTGGATCCGTAAGTCGGTTTTATCTTTAGTTGGTTCTAAACAGTGAGAAACTGATTTATCTATCTTATTTTGTTGCCGAATCTTATTTTGTGAAGATGTATGCTCCAAGCAAGTTTGTTTTATCACGCAAACCCAATTTACACGCACTTTTCTGTTTAACAGGACATAAGGAACGGCTCGGGAAATCATCGTGCACTATCAAGCACCACACTGTTTCCACAAAGTATTCGAAATTCCACGCCCAAGAGTCAATATAATCGAGGTTCAAGTGCTCCACCAACATCTATCGAAGCGAACGGAAACATACTAAACAAAAATAATGGATCCCATTTTGACGTGGTAAACGGAATCAATAGAAATATGATAAAAGGAAGAGAGATAGATGAAAGACAATACTCAGCAAAACTGAGTGAAATTGACGTATACGAGAGCTCTCGTTACGACGCGCTGTTGCTTAAAGAAGATTTGAAGAATACAAACTGGCTTCATAGTGTGGATGATAAATTTGATCAAGGCTCCTTATTATTTGATAATGGATTCGAGAACCTGCCTGAGCCTTTTGGTCTCTTATAGTATGTGTATCTAAAGAGGTTCTGCTTGAAGCAATTGTAACATGTTATTTATGTTGTAATTCTTATCTCATTTTCTTTTTTAGAAAGATGGGATATTTCAAATTATAAAGCTCAAAGTGGAAAAGAAAGTAAAGATGCATTATATGTTTATATGTTTTCTGCAATTTGCAGAGAAATCAGTGGATTTAAATTCGATCTTATACATATACAAATAATGTAGAAAAATATTTCGTGATATAGGTCCAACTTTAAACAAAAGTCAAGACATAAACAAAAGTCATGGCGACAGTAGCGAACCGTCGTAATCAACAATTAAAAATAATCAACAAAAGTCATGACGGTATCGAACCGTTGCCATAAACAATTTAATCAATTTCAAAAGATATTCACGACAGTATCGAACCGTCGCCATCAATAATTAAAAGAAACTCAAAAGATAGTCACGACGGTATCAACCCGTCGTAAACTTGAACGACAGTTTTTGTAACCGTCGCGAAATAGGTTGGGGACACACACTTCTGCGACGGTAAAGCAACCGTCGTGGAAAGCAAATTGCGACGGTTTTAACCATCGTGATCTACAAAAATACCTGTCGCAATCTGCCAATTTTCTTGTAGTGTAAGGGAAACGCCGTGTACTGCTTGTAAAATCCTGCCTGGGGAATTTGGAGAAATTTGACGACTTCTACTGGGGATTGATAACTGGAAGGTTTGTTCCGCTGGGGATTGAACTGCACACTGCGGGGGATTATGGAAATAGAATAGAGAGATTTCCCTACCTCTTAAAGCCATTAATGATTGTCTTTCTATTTTGTTTATTTATAAACAATAATTATATTCAAATGCATATGTTTAAAAATGAATCATCGGACGTTTTTGTAAACCAAACACAAAAGAAAAAAACATATAGTTTTTCACTTTCAAAGGGATATCTTTGTATTGACTTTGAGTAAGTATTTTTGTACAATGAGACAAATATTCCAGCAAGAGAATACTGTCGTAAAAAATGAAAATTTTGATACAAAGAAAAGACAGCTATGTGCAATAATCCCATGGGGGTCCCATTATGCTATAGCCTTTGTATCTCCGAGAATCTTGTCTATTTGTTGCCTCGTCCGAAGATGATTGAATTGATCAGAACCTCTGAGTTTGTCAGTTGAAGCCAAAGGTTATCCGTAAGGTGATCCAACGGGACATAGTCATACGCTTTAATTCCCTAACTTTTGCCTGGACCGCCCTTTCGGGTTTTCAGTCCACCGGGAAACCCTTTTTTACCCAAGTCTCCCTTTCGGGGTTTCAACTTGCCGGGTGTACATATTTTTTTGTTTTTATCCCTAATTTTTCCCCGAACCTTTTTGGTTCTCCGGGATGCCCTTGTTTTGCCTAGGTGTGTCAACCTAGCGGGTCTCTTATGTGTAGTATCTTTTGACTATGTCTGTGTTTGTAGGGTGTGATAGGTCATCACCATCAATGGTGGTCAAGATCATTGTGCCACCAGAGAATATATTTTTGATTACAAATGGTCCTTCGTATGTAGGAGTACATTTGCCTCTGGGATCACCTTGCAGAAATATGATACATTTGATCACTAAATCCCCGACTTGATACACTTGCCGTCTGACCTTTTTGTTGAAAGCCTTGATCATCCGTTTTTGATACATTTGACCATGGCAGACAAAAGTAAGCCTTTTCTCATCAATCAAGTTTAGTTGATCAAGTAGAGTCTGGATCCAATCGTCTTCATTCAGCCCTACATCCTTCATAATTCTTAGAGAGGGGATCTGGACCTCAATAGGCAAGACAACCTCCATGCTGTATACCAGAGAATAGGGTGTTGCTCCAGTTGATGTGCGAGCTGTGGTACGATATCCGTGGAGAGCGAACGGTAGCATCTCATGCCAGTCTTTGTATGTGACTCTCATTTTCTGTATGATCTTTTTAATGTTCTTATTCGCGGCTTCGACAACACCATTCATCTTTGGCCGGTAAGGGGAAGAATTTTGATGCTGGATCTTGAATTGCTCGCACAAAGCGGTGATCATAGTATTGTTCAAGTTTGTACCATTGTCTGTAATGATCCTCTCCGGGATACCATAACGACAAATGAGATTTTGCTTAATGAACCGGGCGACAACATTCTTGGTCACAGAAGCGAAAGAGGCTGCCTCAACCCACTTTGTAAAATAGTCAATGGCCACTAAGATGAAGAGGTGTCCATTAGAGGATGTTGGTTTGATTTCCCCAATCATATCAACCCCCCACATAGCAAAGGGCCAAGGAGCCGTCAAGACATTCAGAGAAACCGGAGGTACGTGCACCTTGTCAGCATAGATCTGACATTTGTGGAAGGTTCGAGAGTATTGATTGCAATCTGCTTCCATGGTAGACCAGTAATAGCCTTCCCGTAGTATTTTCTTTGCCATCGTATGCTCACTGGAATGGGTGCCAAAAGTTCCTTCATGTAACTCAACCATGATCCTTTCAGCTTCAACCTTGTCTACGCACTGAAGTAACAGAGTCATGGTTGCGTTTGTAAAGAATGCCATTACTAAGGAAGAATTTAGCAGAGAATCTCCTTAAGAAATTCTTGTCGTTGATTGAAGCTCCTTCTAGATATTCTTGGGTTTCGAGATACCTCTTGACTTCGTGAAACCAAGGTTGGTCCACTACTTCTTCAGTATTAATCTCGTGACAATATGCTGGTTCATCCCTTCGTTCAATGGTGATCTGGGGAGCCTCATTATCCCATTTAAGTTTAAACATAGATGACATTGTGGCTAGTGCGTCTGCTAGCTGATTTTCTTCTCGCAGGAAATGCTCGAAGGTAATCTTCTCAAAATGTGGGAGAAATGTCAAAACATGTTCTTTGTAAGGGATAAGCTTAGGTTGTTTGGTGCCCCATTCCCCTTTGATCTGGCTAATGACCAAAGCTGAATCTCGGAATACATTCAAATATTTGATCCCCAAATCTAAGGCAGCCTTGAGACCAAAGATGCACGCTTCGTATTCCAACATGTTATTTGTACAATTGAAGCAGAGTCTTGCCGTAAAAGGAGTATGACACCCTTCCGGAGATATGAGTACAACACCAATACCATTTCTGAGTGCGTTAGGTGCCCCATCAAAAACTAGGGTCCATCGGGATCCTTGTTCAGGTCCGTCATATGTTCTTAATTCTTCACAGTCATTTACCATCATGGTGTCTTCATCTGGGAATTCGAACTTCATGGACTGGTAGTCTGCCACGGCTTGGTGAGCAAGGTGATCAACTAGTACACTGCCCTTTATTTCTTTCTGGGTAGTATACTGTATGTCATATTCTGTCAGGATCATCTGCCATCTCGCTATTCTCCCAGAGAGAGCAGGTTTCTCAAAGATGTATTTTATTGGATCCATTTTAGATATCAACAAGGTAGTATGAGTCAGCATATACTGTCTTAGCCAGTGAGCAGCCCATGCTAGAGCGTAACAAGTTTTCTCAAGTAGTGAATATATTGTTTCACAGTCGGTAAACTTTTTGCTCAGGTAATAAATAGCATGCTCTTTTCGGCCAGACTCGTCATGCTGCCCCAGCACACATCCCATTGAATTTTCCAAAACAGTCAGATACATGATTAATGGTATTCCCTCGACTGGTGGCGTTAAAATAGGAGGCTCTTGTAAATACTCTTTGATCTTGTCAAAATCAGTTTGGCACTCATCATTCCACTTGACTACCTGATCTTTCTTCAGTAGTTTGAAGATTGGTTCACAAGTAGCTGTCAGATGAGAAATGAATCTGGCAATGTAGTTTAAACATCCAAAAAATCCTCTGACTTCCTTCTCAGTACGAGGATCAGACATCTCTTGTATAGCTTGTTAGAACAAAGTTTGAATCTACTACCCTATGTTTAAGTTTTGATGATAACAAATTGAAAAGATATACTATTTATGTGATTCATGTAAGAACTACTTGCTACCTAAAATATTACTTTCTGTTTTGCAGAAACTCTGATAGGTATCAGCAAGAGCACACCTAATCAGCATCAGAATATTGGTTCTTAACGTCAGCATCAGAAGATGCTATATCAGAATACCAGAATCAGAAGAACAAATCACGCGAATGCTGAAGCTTGATGAACAGAACTGCGCTTAACACTCTGATAAAGACAACAACAGTTCATCAGCACTTAAGCAGAGTCAGAATGAGCCAAGCCAGAACATGCATTAAGTAAGCAACGGTACTGTGCATTGAAAGCAAATTATTACCAACGGCCTCATTCAAGACAAGATATGCTTGATAAGGAAAGTTTGTTATTAGCATTGAATCAAGATTATTGCTCCAACGTTCAACAATCTCAGTGCTATATAAACAAGACTATGAAGATTGAATTGGCTAATGCTCTACATCATATTACACGCCTAAAAGCTATTCTACATCTTCTCATTCTCAGTTTGCTAAAAAGCTCCATATCTCCTTACTCAGTATTTTAGCAATCTAGTTTCATAAGCTTAAATTGTGTAACATCACAGTTGTGATACAGTTTTGTAGAAAACATTCACACACCTAGATTTATCTTCTTTGTAAGAAAGTGTTTCCTTGACAAACCGAGTTGTGGTTTGCATCAAGAAGGCTTTAGCAGTTGTTAAAGCAGTTTGTAATATTCAGTTGAATATAGTGGATTAAGACCTCGTTGGAGAGAGGCGAAATCACCTTGACGGGTGGACTGGAGTAGTTTGAGATCAAACGAACCAGGATAAAAATATCTTGTTCATTGCATTGATTTTCAGTTTTACAATTCAACCCCCCCTTCTTGTGTTTTTCACTTCTTCAATTGGCATCAGAGCGCCTGGTTCTGAGCTAAAACACTTAACCGTGTCAGTACAAGATCCAGCGTCAGAAAAACACAATGGCAGGAACTTATTCCCACACCAGCAATGACAACCATGAGGACAGAGACAGATTCAGCGGGAAACCTCCAGTCTTTGATGGAGAAAACTTTGATTACTGGAAAGACATAAT